ATCTCGAACTGCAGAATTTCCATTTCCATCTCCTCCATCTGAACCGTCCATATATTGGGACTCAATCTTGAGGACCCGCGCAAACGGCACCTCTGGTGACAAAGGTGGCGTTATTTGGTTGGGTAACTCGGGCAGAGGAGTGTGGGGTCCTGTGGATGGCTCGGTGCTGAAATCGGGAGGGGAGACTAGCAATTGTGTGTTTGTGTCGTGAGCGTAGTGAAGTCGATCGTTTGAGAAAGCCAATGAGAATATGGTAGGTGGTGATGTGGCAGGGGAGGCGAATGACGCGGGTGAGGAAGGTGGGGCCACCAAAATGTTGTTGTTCGGTTGGATTCTCGTGGTGTTGTCTGAACCCAAACACCAGCGGTAGGAGGTCCACCACCGGCCCAGTACTACTGCCCATCTTCTTTTCTGATAAATTAAGTAAACATTCATTATTTCCTATTACATTACCAATTTACCGCAATATCATCACCACTTCAAATCGTCAAGCTGATAATATCAGTTACCGGCCATTGGTTCCGGGTGAATACCCACAAAATACTAAATGAAATTCTTAATACCAAATTGTTGTGGATTTGAACTGTAAATATCGGCAAAAATATTGGAAAATATCTTATACAAATTACCAATTATTAAACAGTAAAATAGAAAGTACGTAAATTAAAACTGAATATAATTACTACCTTAAAAAATTAAAATTTGAAATCGTAGTTTTATTTTTATCTTGAGAAGATGAGACTTAAAAAAAAACATTGAGACTTAGAAGTGAGAAAATATATGATTCTTGTATTAAGTTATTAACACATGGCTGGCTAGGTATATATATGTATATAAAAACATAAGATGGGTCTTCCTTATGTTGCGCCTATAAACCTAATCCTACACTACATAATACAACAATTATAAGGGAAAATTTTAAAATTGGTCCTATAATTTGGCCACTGTCCAAAAAACCACCCCGATATTGACCACTTTCAATTTAGGTCCTATAATTTGTCGATTTCATCAATTTTGGTCCTTTTTTATCCGCACCCTGGATTAAAAAGTGACGTGGCATGAAAAAAGGATCAAAATTGATGAAATCATCAAATTATAGGACCAAAATTGACGTGCCACGTAGATCATAATCACGCCATGTAACATTGAAAAACTGACACGTCATGCCACGTCACTTTGTAATCCATGGGCGGATAAAAAAAGATCAAAATTGATTAAATCGATAAATTATAGGACCTAAATTGAAATGGTCAATATCGAGGTGGTTTTTTGGACAATGGTCAAGTTATAGGACCAATTTTGAAATTTTGCCCAATTATAATTATTAATTAACATTAATTTTTATTTTTCATATTTGATAATAGAATTTATATATACGATTAGATTTGCTATTTCCTTAATATCGTCAAATTGTGGCTGTTTCGGTATGACTACATCTAGTTATTTAGAAACTGTTACTA